TCCCTATTTCCAAATAGTGAGATACAAATACAGGAAAGGCTCTACAGTGTTGCAAAGCACGTACTTGTACTCCTGTCAGGCCTGGAACTGTAACCCACTATACAGGAAACTTCAAAAAGACATAGACAAGCACAGTAAGAGCAATCAAAGACACTCAGAGCTGGCTTAACTCTACTCCCATTCACACAGTGAGAATAAATTCCTTGGCCTAAATCAACAACTAGTGTAAATTCTCTAGCTCCACTGACACCAATTAAGTGATAACAAATTATAAAATTGAGGATCTGTTCCTACAAAAACTTAAATGGAAGTGGGGTCAAGTCAATGCCAAGTGTTTTTGAATCCACAACAGTTCTAAATGCATCTTTTAAAAGACTGTTTTGAGCTCTATCAATTCTACATTTTAAGTGTCATCCTATTAATACATTAAAATTGATTTTATATGTTTTTCTTGCTGCTCATTTAAAATGACTGAAATTGAAAACAATTCACTGTAATCTTCTCAGTGACCTTTAGTATGCAGGATCAAAAAGTAGTAGAAAAAATACATGATAAAATCTGTTCTACTATATGTTTTATTATACAAAAACTTTAAATTAGGTTAAGCAAAATATCTAAGGGATTGAAAAAAAAATGACATTTTGATACTTATTGATCAGAATAGAAGAGCCAAGGTAAAACTATCAATAGTATTAATTCTACTAATAATTTGACCTTGGTTCAAGACATTCAAGCAAGCCAGAACCTAAGTATATGTGGTTTACCTTTTGAAAGGGCTTCCTCTCTGGAGCAAATCAATTTAGGGCAAATGATAATTAAAACTCAAGCAGAAATGTCCTACTCAAGCCCTACTTAGCACTGGGTGAGTCCACTGATGGACATTTACAGCTGGATTAAAGTCACCACTGCCAAACAGTTTGCTCAAGAGTCCTGATGTAGAGAAGCCAACACACGGAAAGATGGATGGATGCTGAAAAGATGAAAGATGAAGAGTCCAACACATGCATGGTCAGGGACAACATGACCATGAAATACAGAAAGAAGGAGAATATGTTTGTGCATTTACAGATTTAGGATTCATTGCTGGTGTTCTTCTTTCCTTAACACCATACAAGGTGAGTTGAGGACTTTTCAGCACCACACTTAAAATATTTTGGCAAATATGTTATTCATGAGCTGGCAATTGTCACTGAAACTATTTTGAAAGTAAAAGTGAAATAAAATAAAGACATACTGCCCAAGGCATGCACCATTTCTTAATAATTCCTGTGCCTAATTACTTAGGTGATATGTAGTATTTTTTTTTTTTATTTTTTTTAAATAAAAGGCCATTATAATAACTCACTGCTTGTACAATTTCCTACTTGGGGTGTATATTATATACTGTCCATATTTCGTTAAACAAAATTGCAAAGCATGCAATAAATTAATTTATACTAACTGTACAGTGTATTATGCAATCCAGGCTCTTAAACTCTGAACAGCCATGTATTTGTGGATTATTTTATATTAAATAACACAGCATTCAGAGATAGGGAGGTTAATGCCTCTCTGAAAAGCACTACCCAATATCATATTAATGGAATGACATGCCTTAATGTTTACTCTGTGAACAATATCCAGCATGGTTTGTTCTTCCTTCTCTCAAGGATTCTAAGGAGGCTTGCTAAGGAGAGAACAGAGACAAACCCGTCCTACTGGATGTAAAATTTCTTAAATATAATTTTCTTCTAATGTTGTGTGATTTTTATTTTTACATTAACTGATCAGCATTTTGTTATATTAATTTATAAAACAAGGCCTATCTTTAAAAAATAAGAAGTGGGTGGACCATATCTACTCTTACCTGTACTCTGAGTGTGTGGCAGGGACAGTTAGCTGGGTATGGTACAATGGAGCTGGACAGCAAAACTGGTGCAGAGTATTTATAGACCTACGACACAAGGAAAAACACAAAGTCAAAACACCAAGTGTTTAGAAAGGGGCTTTTTAGGGAAAGGTAGAGATTACTAAGTATATGTGAAACTTGTCATAAGTTTGAAATAAATTTGTAAAAGTACAACTATCAACTCTGATTCCCAGAAAATCAAGGGGAATAGTCCCATGCTTTAGAGATACAAATCAAGAATGAGGATGATGAACTACTCCAATGAAGATAGAAAATTTAGTTGCAAAAAATTTAAAAAAAAATAAAGATGCCAATTTCTGACTTTGTCTTTGCCTTGTCACATGGTACAATAGAAGCAAAGTTAATAAAAGTTAAGGGTTTAAATTCCTGCAGAATAAAGTGAAAATTTTGCAAGTTACTCTGCACCAGTCATGTTGTTTCTATTGCTAATTGTACTACATACAGTGCTTACAAGCAAGAGGAGGAAAATGGGATGTATATGCAAATAACCTCTCTATCTCTAGGCCCAGCCATTATAAACAAGCTATCGTTCTGCTGTGGTAAGTCTAAAAGTCTTGTAATTTACTGCACATAGGTGACATCTGACTTTAGGGTAGAAACTAAAAGAAAAAGGTAGAAAAAATTTGTATAATTCAACAGAAAATGCATGCTGCATTTCAGATGTTTTTACTGCTCAGACTATCCATAACTAATACCACATAAAATCCCAGCAAAGAGAGAGAGAGAGGACAACACAAGATGCTGCAGCCAAAGAAACAATTTATAAATGATGCAGGGCAAAGCATTGCTATATTTTTTATATCATGATAGCATTAAACAGTTTCACATAGTAAGTATTGTATGACAAAACTACCAGAAAAATAATAATGAAAAGCCAAGCCAAATCTTTCATAACTCTTGCCGCATCTACGTTGAGATGTGCCTGCTAAAGTCCTATTCTTCTCCAATTTACTTAAACATAAAAATTGTCCATGACTAGTTAAAACATAGATCATTCTGCTCTTAATTTATTTTGCTCACAGTGTTCTTCTGAGCATTTCAAAAGGATTTTTTTAAAGCTCCCTGTGTTTAAAGAGAGTCCTGTGAGGTCATCCTCTTATAAGATCAAAAGCAGCAGTTAAGCACAAAAAATGCCAGTCTTTCTTCAGATAGGAGTCAGGTACTAATCCATTAAAAATGAAGGTCAGCTTGCTCTGATTCCTGTTGCCAATAGTCATATCAGCAATTGCAAGGCCAAGATGAGTGAGTTTTTCTGTTTAAAGGCAGCAATTGATGGTCACTCTTAAAAGTACTCAACCCCTTGGGAAACCAAGAGAAACATCGATCAAACCAACCACAATGTGCATGCAACTGAAGACTAATGAAAAACTGCTGGAGGATGCTTCACAATGGCAACTGAAATGTTAATTTGTAGAACCTTCAAACAACTGATAGAAGGAAGGACTAAGAGGGTGGAGACTATTCCTGGGAAAATTATTAAACATAGCAAAAAGAAAGGAAAAATACTTTAGACTTTAACAAGTAAAATAAACAGGGTTACTATAGGAAACGTGTTCCATGCTTCTTCACATTACTGAGGTGGGCTAACTTGCTGCAAGGGAAAAGATAACAATGAAGTTGAAGGACTGATCCTGTGTTGATGAAATCACCAAATTCTTACCATCTAGAAGTAAAGGTGAAACCTTAGCATGAAGCAGTTGTTTAACTCCATGTCTTTTCAGACTCATCCAGTCTCAGCCCAACCAATATTTTACTTTCGAGAATAAGGGATAGGCACATAAGAGACTTTGCTTGGACTTGGATCTTCTCAGCTCAGTGGATTTAGCATAGTGCTTACTCTGATCTGTGCCTCAAATAGCTTCTCCTGGGACTTCTACTAAGAAGCAACATACTTCTTGGGCTCTCTCAGCTCCATTTTTCCCAACTGTACCGACCATTTTCCTTTTCTTCCCAGTCTCCCCATCTGCAAGTAGGATTTATAATAATACTTACCTATTCATAAAGATAGCTGGGGATAAATATTTTAGTACTTGCAGGGATAAGTATTTTAACACTTTGAGATTTTCTTATGAAAGTAACCACAAATGCACAGAAAAATTATTTAGATAATAAGTTATTTATTTTTTCTGTTTGTCATGTAATAATGGCATTATGTAAAACCAGAGGCAGTAGTTACTTAACTCCTGAATGGGAGGTGATATTATGAAAGCACCCAATAACTATACAGGCATAAATCATAAAAAACTGCTGAGTTGCAAATCAAACACTTCATGGCATCACTAGATTCTAATTAAAAATATTAACAAGCTTCATTGTTCAGATTCATATTTAGATTTCATCTCTCCCAAGATATTGGGATGTGTGGATATCAACTCTGAGTTCAACCATTTTTAAAGATTTTAAAATACATTTGTATTTGAACTCAATTCTGTCATACAGTTTCTAAGTAATGCCTAAAATTACATCAAGGAGGAACACACCTGAAAAATTTTAGTTTGTAACCACCTTCCCTGTCTTGTCTGCAGTGGCTATAATGCTTATAAAACTTAATAGTTTACCATATTAAACTCCAATCTATGGTCCTCAAAGCACTAATTAGGGAAATGACTGAAGATCTAAGGAGAACATGGATGTCAGCACTGACTCAAGATAACAGCTCAAGATTGATGGACACATATTCTGACAATTTCAATTTCTAAAAAAAGTGGCAGCCAGCAGTGCAATTTTTTTTTCCAAGCATGAATTTCATTTTGATCAAGATACATAAGAGAGAGGTAGTTAGCTGTGATATGAGAGGTAGTTAGTTGATTTCACTCAGAATGCTGGATAGATGTAGACATCTACCCAGCCTTGCATGCATATGAACAGGTAAACTTCATTTGTCACCTAAAACGTGTACACTTTTACAGAGCTCTGTCATTAACAAACCTCCCAAACATGAAATACACTGCCCCTGAGAATACTACCACTTCCAAGAGACCCATCTCTGTTATGGTAAAAAATTGGATAAAGATCCAATTTAGCTACATTTTGAAGAGATTTAAAATGGGCATT